AGTGTGATCATGAATTAGCGCTACACATTCTGTGCCGTGTATTGTATTTATAAATGATTTCTTAGCAGTATTCATGAATTAGCGCATCGGTGTCGACACAAAAGCGGCTAAAATATGAATATATATATATATATTTATAGATTTATATATGCATATGTGATCAAAATAATGCATTTATACATGTGAAAAAAAATCTTGTTCCAGGAGAACATGACTCCAACCTACAATGCTTGTGCTGCAGAGAGTGGAACAGGAACCTATCAGAGGATGAAGGATGGCATGGCAGCTGGTATCGACAAAGCAAGGTTTTATATGTTTGATGATGCCTCTCGTAACCTGCTGCAGGAATTGGAACAAATCAAGGTAGGTTGATTCTTAAACCTAGCTTTGATTAGATTTCTTCTGTACAGATGCTGACTGTATTAATTTTGCTTGAATGTCTTCACTGTGTTTTGAATATGAGGAGAATGGTCAAATGCATGTAGTTACTGTATAGCTCTAAATCAGAATGTTCTCCTTGATCTAGTCAGTTCTACTCCAACTTAAATGTAATTCTGATAAATCTAGTTACCTTTGAAACAGATCATGTTTATTTTTAGAGGGTTTGAAAAAGTAACTTGTAAGTACAAATAAAAGTAAATGATACATAATCAAATGTCATGGCAGTAAACAGGATACTTGTGTATTTATGAATGAATTAAAACATCTGATTCAGGTTGAGGTGACAGAAATCGTACAGGGAGTGTGCCGTGGTCTTTGTTGTACTGTACAGGTGGCCTTTGAGCCCCTTTGGGAGGCCCCGGGGAACAATCTGGAACTCAGAGACACACTTATACCAAGTAAGAAAACAAAGAGCATCTGACATTCCAGTACATTTGATATCTTTAACTGCAGGAAATGATTAAATTTTGCTTTGTCACTCAAAGAACACACAGTTCTAGTATATAATTTTGTTGTAGGTGTAACAGAGGTTTCACTCCAGGTGTGTAAGATAATGGAGGAAGCAGGAGTAGAGGTACCTGTAACTAATCCAGGATCACTTCCTGTCACACCCACCAATGGGGCTTCTGTCCAATCAGCAGCATCACTTCCTGTCACACCCACCAATGGGGCTTCTGTCCAATCAGCAGCATCACTTCCTGTCACACCCACCAATGCGGCTTCTGTCCAATCAGCAGCAGCATTTCCTGTCACACCCACCAGTGGGGCTTCTGTCCAATCAGCAGCATCATTTCCTGTCACACCCACCAACGGGGCTTCTGTCCAATCAGCAGTGACAAATGCAGAAGGATATCAGGTTTGTTACCCAGTAATGTTCAAAGGAAAAAACAAAGTTTTTACAGACCAGTTTCAACTTAATTATGTGAAAGGTTCCTTTTTTTACTGCAACAAAAAGCTTATTAGCAATACACTAGATTTAAATGTATCCAATCTGTCAATATTCAGATACAAAATAAATGTAATAAACAACCAGCAGAGTGGTCGTATTTACCTTAAAAACAGTAAATATCTTCTGAAGTTTTACTTGATTTTTATTTTTTCAAATTTAAAATTTCATAATCAGTAGTATATGTATATGAATACTGGCCATTAGAATGCATTCTTGGTCAACTGTTTTTGAGTTTGAGCTTTGTAGTTTACAAATCTTTCCAAATGGAAAAAAGCATTTGACTTGTTTGACAAAAAACAAAATTGATGTAGTGTTCTTTAAAACATGTATGTGGTTCTGTTTTTTTTTGTTTTAGGGTATACAGAGAACAGATGGTAACTCATTAGAATTGCTGTTGAGTTTTGTTCTTGAGGAACTTCTAGCCGGATCTTCAGATTCTGAACTTCTCACCTCAATCAAAACAGAACCATCATACAATGTTTCCAAAATCAAGAGAGAAAGGACAGGTAATAACAGTAATTCAGTAAAGACAAGATAGAATCCTTCAGTGATTACTAACAGACAGATGGACAGGATCAGAGAAGGTAGAATCCTTTATAGTGATTACTAACAGACAGATGAACAGGATCAGAGAAAGTAGAATCCTTTATAGTAATTACCAACAGACAGATGGACAGGATCAGAGAAAGTAGAATCCTTCAGTGATTACTAACAGACAGATGGACAGGATTAGACAAGATAGAATCCTTTATAGTGATTACTGACAGACAGATGGACAGGATCAGACAAGGTAGAATCCTTTATAGTGATTACTAACAGACAGATGGACAGGATCAGAGAAAGTAGAATCCTTCAGTGATTACTAACAGACAGATGGACAGGATTAGACAAGATAGAATCCTTTATAGTGATTACCAACAGACAGATGGACAGGATTAGACAAGGAAGAATCCTTTATAGTGATTACTAACAGATAGATGGACAGGATCAGACAAGGTAGAACCCTTTATAGTAATTATTAACTGGCTTTCATACTTCATGTGTAAGACTTTCCCTTGGCTATAAATATTTTTTACCTTGAGCATAGAGTTTCACATACTTTTGAAATATTTTAACCTTGAACATAATTTCTGAATGATTGGTGCTAGGGATTTGATACTTCACATGTGTAATATGGCCAGAGCATGTTGTGTGTGTCATTTCTGTCTTCCTTCTTTCTGTCTTTCCTTCTGTTACACTTTGGGTTTACCTCAGTTTCAAAGAAACTATTCAAGATGACCTTGACTTTTCCTTTGACCTTGACCTCACTTTTCTCAAATTTGTGTTTAGCTCAGTTTCAAAGAAATTATTCTAGATATTTTATGTAAGCTTGTGCACTGATACATTAATTGGTGAGAATTTATCAACTGTGTCCAGTTTATTTTTACCTTGACCTTACCATTGACCTTTGACTTTACCACACTAATACATATTTTTATGTTACATTTACTAATGAACCATGGTCAGGCCTTCATTTCCTATGGATGTATTTCTTGTTCAGATAATGAATTTAAAAAAAAGATGCAAATTGCCCTGCTGTGTGACAATAAACCATCACTTAATAATAGAATTTTATTGGTTGTGTTTTCAGTCTCTACTCAGTATGCAACTCCAGTCAGATTTTCCTCCATAAAATCAGAACCTTCATCTGGTATTCAAGTTTGTTGTTTTTGTGGACACCCAGGGACTAATCCCAGTGAATGTGATAAGTGCCATGTCCCCAGACGATCCCCTCAAGGCCATCTATTCAAGAGTTGTAAAGTTTGCAAACAGATGGGAGAGAATGCCCAAATATGTGAAATCTGTAAGAGATGCCGTCAATGTTTGAATATCATCACATCTCTAAACCAGCAATGTGAACACTGCCAAGGTAACAGTCTTTTTTGCTCACATGAGCTTTTCTGATCAAATTTTATCTGTTGTTGTCATTATACCCCCCGCAAACGAAGTTTAGGGGGGTATATTGGAATCAGCTTGTCCGTCTGTCTGTCCGTCTGTCTGTAGACGAGATTTTGTCCGCACCATTTCCTGGAAACTGTTGCAAGGATTTGTCTGAAAATTTGTACACTTATTATTCGCCATATGAAGGTGTGCCCCTGGTATTTTCATCATGATTGGATAATTTTTTTGCATTTTACAGGTGTTTTTTTTTTTTCATTTTTATTATGTGGTTTTGTCCGGATCTGTTCCCAGAGACTATTGCATAGATTTGTATGAAAATTTGTACACTTATTATTTACCATATGAAGATGTGCACCTGGTATTTTCAACATTATTTGATAATTTTTCTGCATTTTACAGTTTGTTTTTTTTTTCATTTTTATTGACTTAGTCATTTCGGGTTCATGTCTAAGGTTTGAGACATAGAATCTAGAACATCTGTACAAAAATGTGAACTACAGCTTAAATCAACTCATTAGAACTAAAAAAAAAATCACAAAATATTAAAAACAGTTTTTACATTACACAGCAGATATAGTAAAATCATTTGTCCCTTGGGAGTAATGAGTGGACATGCATCCAGTTAAAGATTAATTAATGAGTTCAGTGTGGGAAGCTGTTAGGGCATCTCTGATCAAGCAGGTCTTATCTATATCTCCTGGGAATTGGGCACAAAGAAATAAAGATCTCTGTTGTCTAAGTCTCTTAATTGTAATTTATGTCTGTCAAATACATAGTTACTGGTACCAGCCTTTTATTTTTAAAATGAGTTTGATATAAAGGTATTAAGATCAATTTGATTTTGTATAATTAATTATGATAATTTTTTTTTCAACAATCAATTTGCAGAGTGTCATGTCTCACAAAGATGACAGATAGTTGCAAACTATTTTTTCAATGTAATAAAAAACACTGTAATTATAAGTATTGATGTTTTATTAGGCTGCACCTTACTTTCATTCATTAAAAAAATATAATGAGTAATTAAATTTTCACTCTAAATGTTTAAGCAAATTGTGAACACCTCTCACATCTAGAGAACATTAGTGATTTGGTACCTTCGCTGAAAAACCCAGCGGGGGGTATTTGTCCCTTTTGGACAGTTCTAGTTGTTGTTGTTGTCGTCCTGTTAAACTTTTTACAATTCCGTCGTCTTCTTTAGAACCACTGGGCATGTTTCAACCAAACTTGGCATAGAGTATTCTTGGCTAAAAGGGTTTCAAGTTTGTTTTTTTTTTAAAATGAAGGGCCACTCTTTACCTAGGGGAGATAATTAACAAATAGTAAAAAATTAGGTTGGGTTATTTAAAAAAAACTTTTCAAGAACCACTGTGCCAGAAAAAATGAAACTTATATGGGAGCATCCTCAGGTAGTGTAGTATTTAACCCTTGATATTTTGAATCCTCGGATATCTTGAAGTTTTTAGGTCACCTGAGTCACTCAGGTGACCTATTGCTATCCGTTTTTGTCCGTCGTCGTGCGATGTGCGTTAACATTTGAACATTTTTAGCTTCTTCTCTGAAACCGCTCAACCAATTTCAACTAAATTTGGCATATAGCATCTATGGGTGAAGGGGAACAAAAATTGTGAATTTCATGGTCCCTGCCCCCCCTGGGGCCTGAGGGGTGGGGCTAAAACCACCAAAATTAATGCAATCTTTAAAAATCTTCTTCTTTACTCCTGGACATCAAGCAGTCAAACTGTTGGCATCATTGTGATAAGCATTGAGTCCTCTACCAAAATTGTGAAATTCATGGCCCCAGGGTCAGGGGTTCTGGTGCTAGGGCAGGGCTATATAGATCATATAGTGAAAGTGCATTATTTCTTTGGAAATCTTCTTCTCTGCTCCTGGGTATTAAATAAACTAACTAAGTATATAGTAATGATGAGTAAGAGTACCTCTACCAAAATTGTGAAATTCATGGCCCCAGGGGCAGGGGTTCTGGTGTTAGGGTGGGGCTCTATTGATTATATAGTGAAAATGCATTAATTCATTGAAAATCTTCTTCTCTGCTCCTGGGTATTAAATAAACTAACTAAGTATATAGTTATAATGAGTAAGAGTGCCTCTTTCAAAATTGTGAAATTCATGGCCCCTGGGTCAGGGGTTCTGGTGTTAGGGTGGGGCTCTATTGATTATATAGTGAAAGTGCATTAATCCTTTGAAAATCTTCTTCTCTGCTCCTGGGTATTAAATTCAGTAACTAAGTACATAGTTATGATGAGCAAGAGTGCCTCTTTCAAAATTGTGAATTTCATGGCCCCTGGGTCAGGGGTTCTGGTGTTAGGGTGGGGCTCTATTGATTATATAATGAAAGTGCATTAATCCTTTGAAAATCTTCTTCTCTACTCCTGGGTATTATTGAAACATATTAAATACATAGTTATGATAATCAAGGATGCCTCTTCCAAAATTGTGAATTTTATGACCCCAGGTTTAAGGGTTCTGGTGAGGGGGGGGGGGGGGGGGGGCTTCTATTGATTATAAAGTGAAAAAGCAAAATTTCTTTGAAAATATTCTTTTCTTCTTCTGGTTAAAAAAGCAAAGAAGCTAAGTGTATAGTTATGATGAGCAAGTGTGCTTCTTCCAGAGTAGTGAATTTCATGACCCCTGGGTCAGATGTGCTGGTGTGAGGGTGGGGCTCTTGATAATTTAGTGAAAATGCATTAATTCTATTAAATAATCCTGTTTGCTCCTTAGTGTTAAGCAGATAAACAAAGTGATGATGAGCAAACATATGGTCCCAGGGTCAGAAGCTCTGGTGTTTTGGGGGTGGGGGGTTGGGGGGGGCTCTATTGATAATATAGTGAATCTGTAGTAAAAATGCATTATTTATTTAAAAATTTTCTCTGCACCTGGGCATATCTGAGCCAAACAGAGTAAAAGTTTTTATAAGGAAGGGAATTTTTACCAGATTTTTGAACATCTGGACCATTTGGTCAAGTGTTCTGGTCCTGGCCAGGGCTCTATTAGTTTGTATTCTACTGAGAGGAGTTATTCCCCTTTGCCATTTACTTTTGATAATTTATCACTGTAAATAATGTACTTGAAAGGTAAGTAGAATAAGAGAATTTTGCAAAAACTTTTATTGTATAATACAAAAAGTACTTTCATAGTTTTAATGATCAGATAGACTTGTAAGTAGTAGATAAATAAAAATGAGACAAAAATAACTTGTCTTATTAAATATTCATCAAAGACCAAGAGATGCCAATGTAAGAGATTTCAACAAAGGATTAAAATAGTACAGAAGCATTGATGATTTGTTAATATACTGTATAGTGATAGTGATAAATGGGGAACAGATTAGAACCTAATTTATGAACTGTTAATGAATATTAAGACCAATTATTTTGTTGATCATGATCACCCTATTTTTCTTGCTTTTGGGCAACAAAGCTTCACCTTTCAGTTCATTTTATACTTTATGCATCCTTGAAATTGTTTTATCATACTCAGGTGACCGTTAAGGCCCTTGGGCCTCTTGTTTCTTGATCCCATCGAGTTGGAGATAACAAGGTTTTACTCTGTATCAGAAAAATCTTTTAAAAATCATCTTCTCATGAACAGCAAAGCCATGATTAGTCATATTTATAGGGGAGCATGCTTGAGGTAGTATAGACTCCAATTTTTTCCAAATCATGACCCCCAGGGGTTGGATTGGACCACAATGGGGGATCAAAGTTTTACATTGTAATACGAGGGGTGATCAAAAAGTTCACAAACTAATTGAATTACTTCCTTAAAAGAAATAAAATGAGGTTTCAATGTTCATTATTTTTTAAAGCAGTCCTCTCCGATTTTAATGCACATCTGCCATTGTTCAGCCCATGCATGAATCACATGATCCAGGCGGTCAGGTGACATGCTCCGTAGCGGTCTGTTCACACAAGCTAAAAGATTTTTCCAAGTCTTACATTTCTTACCATGCAAAATATTTTTAGCTCACCTAAGCCGAAGGCTCAAGTGAGCTTTTCTGATCACATTTTGTCTGTAGTCCGTCTGTCTGTCTGTCTGTCCGTCCGTCCGTCTGTAAACTTTTCACATTTTCGACTTCTTCTCAAGAACCACTGAGCCAATTTCAACCAAACTTGCCACAAAGTATCCTTGGGTGAAGGGGATTCAAATTTGTTCAAATGAAGGGCCACGCCCTATTTCAAGGGGAGATAATAAAGAATTAGTGAAAAATTAATAGCATCTTATAAAAATCTTCTACTGAAGAACCACAAAGCCAGGGAAGATGAAACTTATGTGGAAGCATCCTCAGGTAGTGTAGATTGAAGTTTGTTCAAATCATGATCCCCGGGGGTAGGGCGGGGGCCACAGTGGAGGATCAAAGTTTTATGTAGCAATATATAGGAAAAACCTTTAAAGATATTCTTCTCAAGAACAGTAAAGCCATGATGAGTCATATTTATATGGAAGCATCCTCAGGTAGTGTAGATTCAAGTTTGTTCAAATCATGACCCCCGGGGGTAGGGCGGGGCCACAATGGAGGATCAAAGTTTTACATAGAAATATATAGGAAAAATCTTTAAAAATTTTCTTCTCAATAACAGCAAAGCCCTAATTGGTCATATTTATATGAAAGCATCCTCAGGTAGTGTAGATTCAAGTTTGACCAAATCATGACCCCTGGGGGTAGGGCGGGGTCACAATGGAGGATCAAAGTTTTACATAGAAATATATAGGAAAAATCTTTAAAAATCTTCTTCTCAATAACAGCAAAGCCCTAATTGGTCATATTTATATGAAAGCATCCTCAGGTAGTGTAGATTCAAGTTTGACCAAATCATGACCCCTGGGGGTAGGGCGGGGTCACAATGGAGGATCAAAGTTTTACATAGAAATATATAGGAAAAATCTTTAAAAATCTTCTTCTCAATAACAGCAAAGCCCTAATTGGTCATATTTATATGAAAGCATCCTCAGGTAGTGTAGATTCAAGTTTGTTCAAATCCTGACCCCCCTGGGGTAGGGCGGAGCCACAATGGAGGATCAAAGTTTTACATAGAAATATATATGAAAAATCTTTAAAAATCTTCTTCTCAAGAACAACAAAGCCCTGATTGATTATATTTATGTGTAAGTATCCTCAGGTAGTGTAGATTCAAGTTTGTTCAAATCATGACCCCCTGGGGTAGGGTGGGGCCACAATGGAGGATAAAAGTCTGAAATAGAAATATATAGGAAGATATCTTCTGAGGAAGAACTGCAAAGCCATGATTAGTCATTTTGATATGGAAGCATCCTCAGGTAGTGTAGATTCAAGTTTGTAAAAATGATGACCCCAGGGGATAGGGATGGGCCATAATGGGGGATCGAATATTTTACATAAGAACATATAGGAAAATTTCTTCTCAAGAACTGAAAATCATGTTTAGTCATTTTGATATGGAAGCATCCTCAGGTAGTGTAAATTCAATTTTGTTCAAATAATGACCCCCGAGGGTAGGGTGGGGCCCAATAGGGGGATTGAAAGTTTTACATAAGAACATATAGAAAAAAAATTCTTCTCAAGAACAGAAAAGCTATGTTTAGTCATATTGATATGGAAGCATCCTCAGGTAGTGTAGATTCAAGTTTGTTCAAATGATGACCCCTGGGATAGGGAGGAGCCACAATGGGGGATCAAATTTTTACAAAGGAATATATGGGAAATTTTTTTAAAAATCATCTCAAGCACAGCAAAGCCATTTGTTATATTGACATGGAAGCATCATCAGGTAGTTTAAAATTCAAGCCCCCCCCCCCCCCCCCCCTTTGAACTGATTTGTGCTTTTGCCTTGCCAATGTGCTCAGGTGAGCGATGTGGCCCATGGGCCTCTTGTTTATAACAAGAACAGCCCATTTGTCAGAAATGGCCAAATCTCGGCAATAGGATGGGTGGATAAGGATATCCCTCCCCAGAATTAGCATGGTGACCATCACAACCCGAGTCCTCTGTCTCATGCGTCATTTTTTCTAATGCAGATAAAGTATGGGCACCTTCTTATTTTCATATCTCATATGTTTAAAGTCTATCATTGATATCCTAAAATCGATGATAGACATCAAATCAATACTAATAGTAAATAATAGTAGATAAGAGTAAACGATATTTTAGGGATTTGATAATTATATTATTGTTAAGATATTCAACTATTTTTCTGTTCTTATCTTGGCGATCTTTCATAATAAATTGCTCAACTAAGGACACATCTTTTCCCTGGCTTGCTTTTGCTGGGCAACAGAACAAACATCATTTTCAACAATCTCCCTGCCTTCACTAAAACAATCAATCCAATTAATGATTGAACTTCTGGTAAGTCTTTTGTCTTCATAAACCTTGTACAAATTATCATATTCTACTGCAAAGGAATTTCCAAGATATGTTAAACTTTACATCCGTTCATTGCTTGAGTATGACTGAGTCAACCATTTTTTGTCACAAGTCACCTACATATTGACATCATTTTTCACATTATGATGTCACAAATATGGAGCAAAACATTATATAACATCTGCTATATATGGAACATGTGTATGACTATACATGTATGTGTGCCAAATTTCAATCTGATCTGAATTGTGCTTTTGTTAGAATAGAGATAGTTCGCAAACTTTTTGATCACCCCTCATATAAAAAAATATTCACAAATCTTCTCAAGAACAGCAAATCCATGATTAGTCATATTGATAAGGAGGAATCCTCAGGTAGTGTAGATTCAAGTTTGTTCAGATCATGACCCTTAGTTGTAGGTTGGGGGCCACAATTGGTGATCAAAGTTTTATATAGGAATAGAAAAAAATCTGCTGATGAAGATTAACTGAGATGAGTGTTGTGGCCCATGGGCCTCTTGTTTGTTTTTGGAGTATATACATGTAAATAAAGAAAACCTCAAGGTTCTGGAACCAAGGGTTCACAATGTATCTGAGACTAGCAATACAGCTTTGTTTATCAAACAAGAAAGAACAAAAAAAAAAATAAAATGCAACAACAAGTATATTTTATGCACAAATGCACTAAGGGGCTTTTGGGACAATTAACATTTAGTGCAAAGTAATTGTCTTGTACAAAAATTTATGTGTTCAGTATCTTTCAGTTACATAGGATATATGTTTGGTGACATGTACAAACATAGATGATGCTCTAGGGAGCCAAAAGGTTGATCATTATTAATGCTTAAGATTTTGTATTGTTTCAGCTCCAAGATCAAGGATTGTAGGATCTACAGGCAGTGTTTCTATGAATCAACAAAATGTTGTGTCTCAAACCATCACCTCTGCAAGTGTCAGCTCAGTTCCACAGAATCCGTCCACACGTACAGCAGATCAAAGCGGTGCCAGAGTCAGTGATGGATCAGCTTTTAGAGTAATGTTCTCCACACTTCCACCAAATGTTGTTCAGCAGACTACCTTCCCAGCCAGTTCATCTTGCCAAATTCCGTCTTCCACACTTCCACCCAATGTTTGTCAAACCTCCAGTAAAACTCGCAACCCATCAACATATACCAATAGTGGTAAAGGTCAACCACACCATGAAATGTTTAATACATTAAAGAGACTAGCTGATAAAGTGGGTTCACCCAAGCATCAGCTATCTGCTTCCCAGCCTGTACGACAGGGCAGAAACACAGCCACTCATTCCCAGGGACCAACTATGTCACAGATAAGAAGTCTTACTCCACAGTCTAGTAATCAGATCCTGTATGACAGACGAAGTAGTACGCCTTATAGCAGACTGAGTAGTAGCCAGCCATCTGATCAGAAAGATAGGAAGCGTACCATGAAACCACCCTCCAGAGTGCCAAAAAATTGTAAGTAATTGGTAATCATGACTTATTAAGAAAGTCAGCTATATGTACATGTATCTATCTTTATTTTAAAGAAAGAATAACAACAATATCTGAGTAAAATTTGAAGTGACTAAAATGAAGCATGAGGATTATTCATAGTAATCTTTAACAATTTTAACTCAATGTGATAAAATGCAATTATATTTTTTGTCATAGTGATAATTTGTAAAAGTGGTGTTTTGAAAAGAAAAGTTTCCTGACATTGATTCCATGTATTTTTATTTGGTTCAGTAGGATTTAAGGACATGAGGAACAATCCATGATTCAGTAGGATTTAAGGACATGAGGAACAATCCATGATTCAGTAGGATTTAAGGACATGAGGAACAATCCATAATTCAGTTGGATTTAAGGAGAACAATCCCTAAGAAGAGAGTTGTACAGCTGTAGGAGATTGTTGTAACCACAAAATGGTGGATGCCACTGAAATACTGTGGAATCATTAGATTTTATGGTGGCCTAATATTTGTGGAATGACATCCACAAATTAATATCCTCAGAGAGTTATTACATTCTCGTTTCAGAGTTATCTTTCCTTCTGTATTTATGATTGAATACACAAAATTATGTCTCCATGATCTGGTAAAATCAAGCAATCTATGAAAATTAACCCCCATGAATTTTAATGACTCCACAGTAGTATAGGTTATAGTGCTACATGCAGTGCTTTTATACCAACACTTTTTTAAACTTTTTTTTCAATCATGGTCAAAAAATGTTTAAGCTCTCCTACATGTACTTACTGTTGAACTGTTTTGCTGAATAAATTTGCATAATCTGATGGTTTTATATTGTAAATGACATGTAAATTTTGATGTTTTTAACCTTTTGAATGTGTTGTAATTAACTTTTTTGTTTAATTCAGAAAATCAACTATTAGAGATCTTTAAATTAAATATTGGAAGGTTGTTGCTATTTTGACATTTTTTTGTATGTTTTTTTTTTTTTTTACTTTTTAATTCCACTTTTAGTAAATGGCACCTGAATGTTAAAAAGTTTTATATTTTTATTGAGTGTGCTAACAACTCAATTGTCAAAGATCACACTAGGTTCATAGTAGTTACATATTGAGTCTTAATTAACTGTGGAGAAACTAATTAATATATTCAGGTCACTTGTTTGCTATCTGTTTTTTATACTTTGTTGTGCATTGTCCATAAACTTTTCAAAATATCCAACTCTGAAACATCTGATTCAATCTTGATAAAATATGGTTTAAAGCATTTATGGATGGAGAAATGAAAATGTTAAATTTTGTGGTCCAAGTCTCCTTTCCTTTAGGCAAGAGGGAGGACCAAAATATTCAAATTTAATGCAGTGTTAAAGATATTTTGTTAAACAGGCACCCTGTTTGCTCTCTTCTAAAGTTTGAAAGTCTGGACCCCTGGGAGAAAAGTTCAGGTCCCAGGCTGGAACTTGGCATTCTTCTTATACACAGGTGACAATCCTGGCAAATAGGCATCTTGTTTATCAGAAATGTTGAAAAGGTAGTCCTGCATGTAGTAAGGCATTTGAATAGAAATGCAATGAAGTATTGAATCTTTAGCAAAAAACAATCTTGTTTCTTTGAAGGTGACCATTGTGTCAGTCATGTTGATTGTGCTAATTCTTTAGTAGTGAAATGTACATAAAGTAGTTAGTACATAATATCCAAAGTACAGCAGTTAGAACCTGGTTATTATTCATTCATCAAAGTCAAAGCTCAAATGAGTGTTTCAAATTGAAGTTTGTCTGTCATTTATTAACTTTTCAAATGTTTTATTCTTAACAATGAGGCTGATTTTAAAAAAATTAAAATATTTCACGCAGCTGCCTTCAGGGAAGGGAGTTAAGATTGTTCAAATTAAAAACCAAAATTGCTTTCATGGGTTAATAAAGACTTGTCGAATTGGATGTGCCCATTTCAAAGATATTGGCAAAATTTGTGTGAAAGTATTTTATAATATGTAAATTCAAGTTTGCTCTGGATCGAGTGTGTGGTTAAAATGGTGGTGGTGGGTTAAACTTTTACAGTTATTCATATAGTAAAAAAAACTTTACAAATCAGAGCCACCATTAGTCAAACAAATAGGCAAGCATGTCTATATTTGTCTAGATTTAATAATAATCGATTGTGACCTTTTGTGTGTGTGTGTGTGTGTGTGTGCGTTTGTAAACACCTTCAACTCAGCTCAGGTACTTATTGACACATCAATCAACTCACTACAGTTTTCCAAGTCACTACAGTAATCACTGTAGTGAGTTGCCGTTTTACGAAAAATGGGTAGTTCTCGATTATTTATGCCCAAAAAATCGAGAAAAAAAGTTGGTGTCATTTGACGGTTTACACCCGTATTTTCACACACCGACTTATGATCAAAAAATGGCCCTTACACACTTTACTCGGTTTTGATTCTAGCGCATGCGCAATGCAGACTAATACTATGGCCGACTTCCGGTATGTAATGATCTCGATTTTTCTACAAAGCAACAAATGATCTCATCAGGTAAGTTAATTTTCTGTTGATTTTACCGTGAATTAAAGCGTTAATTACAAAACATCACATCGTTTCCATATACAAAGATATTAATCAATCACTCGATAAACATAGAGTATTTAGATTTCGTTGTTTATATGCCCTTGAAAAATTTATGTTCAAATCCCTTAGTTATATTCCACAAAATAAAACTTTAAGGTTAAAGAATTATTTAAATATATTTCCATATAACTTTAAATCCACTACATGGCCCAATCCATTTGTTAAGCATAATTTGCAGTCGTCATCGAGTCTAAGTTCGAATTTTCTCGAATTATTCATAATGTTGACATGTTTCTATTTCATGCACTCGTATCAATTAATTATGTTCAACTTATATAAAAAATTATACTTCATGTAATATATCAAACGTATCTGGTTCTTTGTTCTAGTTATGAACTGAACTGGAATTATCTCTATCCTTTATAGTCACACATATTGCCATCAACACATCTTCAGTTCAGAAGTTAAATAAATTATTTTATGAAGTTAGAAATTATTTATCTTATTTATCTTTGTCCAAGACATGCACTTCATTTGTAATTTATTCTTTATTTAAAAAAACTGCTTCAAATATGTATGATTACAAAAGTATTTAAGAGTACGTTCTCACTATATAAGAATCACACTTTTCGATTTTAAATGTTTCTTGACTGATTTTACAGAATTTCAAATGAACAAATTCATTTAAATATTTTCTAATACAATGTCCCTGATGTATGTCACAATGGAACACCTGCACATGTATTGTATAAAAAGAATTTAGAAAGATTAGATATCTTTATAATGGAGGTACGTGTATGATAAACTGTTTTGATCGGAAGGGGAAATGCATTTTTAAAATACTACGGCTAATGTAGACAAGATCAGAGTTCTCTTTCATCCAAAAATAAAGTATGCTCAGTTCTTCTTGTATGTGTCCTTAAAGCTGGTAAACTAATCAAAATATGAAAATCTGCAAGTTTTTGTACATGTATTCAGATTGGAAACTTTAATCATTAGTTGCTTACCTGTCCGTGTAAGAGAAATAATTACAGTCTCTAGACTTGATGAGGTGTGATTATGGTAATTGTAAAATGTGGTTTCCAAGACTTTACCTTATTTATTCATTAGAGTTAGTGATTCATGTTCACTTAGTCTATTGTTTCCTCAGAAGGAGATGATCCAGGAATTCTTCCGGGGGGGGGGGGGGGGGGTCCATGCCCCCCCCCCCCCCAAAATCCAACTGAGAAATTTACCCAAAACTTAAAAAATAAATAGATAAATTTTAAAAAACGCAAACTTGTCCATCCCCCCCCCCCCCCCCCCGAGAAAAACTACAATTTGAAAACTCAAAAAAAAATAATAATAATAATAAATAAATAAAAAATAAAAAAAATAAAAATAAAAAAAATATGAGTGGACTGGACTGGATCGGTGCATGAATTGCTAAACATTGTCCATCGTATATATAAAGAACTGCATAAATTTTACACTTAGTCTAATCAGGGACTATATATAGAAATATCTATTTGAACATTGTTAATGCCTCCCCCCTACCCCCCTCTCCATTTACCATGTTTATTTCTAGTAAAAAAAATTGTCTGATTAACCTATTCTACTCAAATTTACTCAAGTAATAAACTTTTTTTTTTTCTGTGTAAAATTTCATTCCGAGTCATCACCGGAACGAATTACTACTTAATCGTAACTGTTGTGGCGTGATGCTTGATTGTGAACCTAATAACATAGAAATACTTATTGGATTATACCTTCGATGTCATTCTGTGATTTATTTTAGTATGTAAATACCCCTCATGGTAAGTATAGAGTAAGAAACGTTATATAAAGGTGTAAATGACAAGTTCAAAATGTTTACATGATAAACAAATCAGAGGTCATTCGAGTCACGTATAAAATTATTAAGTCATGCATGTGATATCAGTCAAGTGCAGATATTTCACAAAGGTTTGGTTGTGCATATATTTTAAACCTTTCACTGTGGTGTTTGTGAGCGTGATACGTGATACAGCTGTGATACCAACACGTACTAAAAGAAGATAGGCTAAGTGAGACTCTTGTAAATTCACATACACACACAAAAGATGTAAAGGTTGCTCCACACCTCTTCAAATTAAGGCTTTGCCACACTACAGCATGTACAAAGCTTAAAAAACTTGCATCGACGTACAGAAAGATTAACATACTCGCTGGCATATGCTGAAGGCTGTGCACCATAATCATGATAATTGCACTGAAGTAAAAAAAATTTAAAATGGTCATTAAATCAACCATATTAGCACCAAAGTGTGCATTCAATTTTCCCTTGGCTCTGTTCATTGGAAAGATTTCGACATTATATCTTTTAAAGGAAAGGTTTGTTTTGTTTGTATGTTGTTTAACGTCCCTCTCGAGAATTTTTCACTCATATGGAGACGCCACCACTTGCCGGTGGAGAGCTTCGAATTTTGTCCTATACTCGGCATTTATGGCCATTGAGCAGTGAGGGATCTTTTTTGTGCCAGCACCTACTGCGACATGGGATCTCGGTTTATACGGTCTCATCCGAAGGACCAGTCTCCACGTCCCACAGTGGGATTCGAACCCGCGACGTAAGAATCAACTCCTTACTCCGCGACTCTAGAGCAGACACTCTAACCACTGTGCCACACGGGCGACTTTAAAGGAAAGGAATTGTATAGTTTGATATGTGCACACTCTAGATTTGGGAAATGTAAATGCTCTACTTTTATTGTTTTAATTACTTTCATTTTCAGATGTTTATTTTTTGCGAATGTGTGCATTTGGCCGGAAAACAATCTGACATTCCACCTTGAGATGTTATTTGAGAGTTGTTCCATCCTTAAATGTAAAGCAAGGATTTAAAACAGTGTGAGAAAAGGTTAACATTGTCGCCTATGGGAAATGTATTGGTGGACTGTATACCCCATATATATTGAGTACGTCTATTGGTAAGCATGCTAAGAGAAATTCTACTTGTTAAAAAAATTGTACTTTCAGGCTGAGTTGAAGTTTGTAATTTAATAATATTATCATTTCCAATTGTTGAAATCTATGAAATACACAACTTTTATTTTGCTTAATGTGCATATTTTAAAACAAATCGAGTCGCAATATAGTGTCCTTCCAAAATTTTGAGGTGAAATAGACATAGTGTATATAGACACAGTTAAGGCACGGAACCATATATGAAATTTAGAAAAGATGTACGGGCTCCACAGACCCAAGATATGGACAAAGAATCTGAGGTTGAAAGCAAGGTGTTCTTGTGCACAGAAACCAATGTGTAGGCAAGGAATACTTGTCCCAAGAAGACAGTTTCTAACTTACAAAATTTGAATGAGGCAGATTTGGTTCAAACTATATACATGTATTTTTAATCTCACGGCTTTTTACATAGCATGATCATAACTTCCTTTGTGCAAATCAGATTAGAAGGATTCATGATCCTGAGCTAAT